GGCCGCAGGGCTGCGGGCTGGCCGGCGCGCCGGCTGCCCCGACGGCAGAAGGTGCCTGCGCCTGGCAGGCTTGCTCCGCTTCCTTCCTGGGGTTTGGCGAGGAGCAGCCTGCCTGCGCCGGGCAGGTAACGAAGGGGGCCCCCAGGGTTCGCACGCACTCGAAGGCAGCGAGGGGAGCGTGCCCGGGGCCCCGAGCACTCGCCAGCTCCCAATGAGGCGCTGATGCTGCAGAGCGCTCCCAACCTGGGGCCTGCACCTGCCAGGGAAGGATGGGGCGCCCTGGGGAACAGGGCTGGACTCTCCCACAGGCAGGGCGAGGGCTGGCAGGGGAGAGGGGGCAGCCCAGGGGCTGCAGGGCAGGTGTGGGACCTGCTCTCACTGCGGGCCGAGGGCAGAGCACGGCTGTGACCGGGCTCACTGGGGCACAGGGCTGTGAAGGCTTTGGGCAGGCTGGTGCAGCCACCCTGGTTTGTCTGGCTGGTGGACAGGGGGTGTCTGCCCACCCCCCCTCTCCAGGGTCTGCTTCCTAATGAGCTGAAGCTCTTCGATGCAATTCCCAAGCAGGTGCTCCCCCGGCAGCCTCATGGTGCAGGTGAGAGAGGAGCAGTGCCCCATAGCATGCACACCACCTGCCTGTGGTGGGATGCAAGGCCAGTGCCCAGGCTGATGCCCAGGCAGCCGGCAGAGCCAACGTGGCTTCTGCGGCTCCCCAGAGGCTGCACAGCTGCTGAGTGACCAGGGACCACAGCAGCTCCCTGCCACCTTGGCAAGGTGTCACTGAGGCACTGCATAGGGCACCAGTGCATGGGGCTGTGACAAGCATCTTCTTGCTCCTTGGGGGCAGCTACAGGGCTAATGCCTGAGGTCTGGGATGCCCTGAAGGACTCAGACGTCCCCGACTGCCCCAAGGGATCCCAGTACAGCCACAGGGGCTCAGACTCAGATATGTAGGGTCATCCTGGCCCAGCTGTGTACTCTGTGTAGGACAAGGAAGGTTCACACCAGGCAGAGCCACTGGGCATCCCCCAGGGAACAGCCCCTGCCCCAGCCTGCTGTAGCACACAGGGGACCGTGGTCCCTCTCGCAAGTAATCGATGGCAGCAGATCCTGATCGCTTTCATTATTATTATTTTCTTATGCATGTGCGCACAGGAGATTTATCGCCAGCTACAGAGGCAAAATCAATTATTCATGTTATAAATTAGAAAATGATTTATGTTTGTGGGAGGCCAAGCAGCGTGGAGCCCCTGGCCGCGTGGGAGCTGGGTTTGTCTGGGAATGGCACCAGACACCCCCTGCCAGCACTTCCCCAGCCTCTCCGTCCCTGCCTTGCCCTGGGCGTCCCACCGAGGTGTGCCCCCTCTCCCATCACTGCCCCAGGGTGACCCATGGAGTGTGGTGGGCACAGAACACCCAACCTCTCCCACCCTGTCAACTTGGGTGCCTGTGGACAGAGCCCAAGGAAAGCTGGAGACCGAGGTGGCCTGGTTGCCCTGGCCAGTGCAGCAGGATGATGCTCCACGGCAGTTTCCATGGCAGCAGCAGCACGGTCCAAGCGCTGGGAGGTGTGGGCTGCAGAAGGAACCCGTCCGTTTTCCCCTGCTGGAGACATCCTCACATGTCCCCTCCAGCCCCAGCAGCTGTGTCTGTGCTCCTGCCTCCCACAACAGCCACTGTGGTACCCTCCAGACTGCCACCCACGGGGACAGGGACCCACTGCACCTCTGACACCCCCACCCCCACGCTCTCCAGGAAAGAGGGCATGGGTGAGAACAAGGGGGTAGTGTAAAGGCACCCCTCTTGCACCAATTCCTGAGGTCAGCTACCCTAGAGTGGGGCTGCGGGACTTTGCTTGGACATGTCCCACCTTCTCCTGGGCTAGCGGGGTCTCAGGGGTCCTGGGAGTCTTCCCAGGCATGGACATCCCATTCCCCAGGAGCTGACTGATGTTCTGCACAGAGAGGGTGGCACTGGGCTCCCACTGCTGGGCAGAGTGTTGGCTCTTGCTGCCGGGTCTGCCCCCAGCCCAGCCATGCCCCAGGTGCTCAGTCCTGGTTGCCTCAGTGTCCTAAAACCCACTGCCCATGCCATGCAGGCAGTGGGAGCAAGTGCCGGGAGCTGGCTGGCCGCTGTCTGCTGATAGCTGGGGCTGCTCTTGATTCCAAAGAGTCTTGATCTAAAGCTGCCATGTCTGTGCCTCCCAGGGGATGGCAGAGCGGGCCGGGAGTGCTGCCTGGCTCTCCTTGTCTGTTCATCTGCAACTGCGTCAGCCGGGGCCGTGGGGAGGCACAGGCTGAAAGGAGTAGTGGGGGAGAGAAAGGAGCTGTCAGCACCCCCGATCTGGGTCTGATGGCAGGCGAGCTGTTCATCCAGCTCCCGCTTATGCAGCATCCTGCGCTGGGCCTCAGGGTGGGAAGGAGGGGCAGCACAGGGCAACCTCAGCTCTGCTTTGGCTCCCCAGGCAGCCTTTTCTCTCCCAGCCCTGCCTCTGAGCCCTGGAGCTTCCTCCCAGTCGCCAGAGAGCCTGTCATCCCTGTGACTCTCAGGGAGCTGAGAACTTGCCAGCTCAACACACACATGGGGGTGTCAGAGGGGGAAGGGGTTTTAGCTGCCCCCACCAGCTCCCTGCCATGCTGTGAGCAGGAGAAACACCAACAGCCAGGCATGGTCCGGGGACAGGGAACCACCTTGTTCTGGGGTACTGAGGCTGCTGCAACCACTTCAGCCCCCAGCCAGCCCTGGGGACCCTCTGGGACCGCACACAGGGTACAGAGGAGTCCCTGCTTGCTCTACTCCAGCTCTAAAGGAGCCAGACAACCCAGGGAGATCAAAGACATGCCAGTGTGGCCTGGGACCCCCGCCCTGAGCTGTGAACACTGGGATTAGCAGTTAGGTGTTGGGAAATAAATGAGTTGTTCTTGGATCGAGCATCGCCTCCAGCGCCTTGCTGCGCCCCAGTCCCAGGGAGCCCAGCGCTGGCCCATGCTCGTGTGAGCATCCCTCTGATTTATTGCTGCGGAGCAAATGCTTACAGAGCGCTTTTGGCAGAGAAAAGCCCTGGGGAGCTGCAATGGGCACGCAGGGGCAAGGAGGGAATCACAGCATGCTGGGGGCACCCAGAACACCCGCAGCCCTGGGTCTTTCCCCCATGCCCAGCCAGGGGACACACTTAGCCTGCAGGGAGGGGACTGCAGAGAGCTCAGGGCTGGGGTGGATTAGATCTGTTTTGCATTATTTCACCAAACACCTGGGGACTCAGCAGCTCGTGACAGCGCTGTATAATGTGGGGAAACAGCCCGTGGTGCGGGCAGGCTCTGATGCTGCTGGCAGCTCACAGGCAGGGAGGCAATGGGGCCATGCCCCTAGGAGAGTGGGCTGGCTGTGGAAGGGAGGAGCCGGGGTCTCTTGCTCCCCATTTTCCTGCACATCCACAAGAACAGGCACAAAAGGCAGCGTTTGTGCTGCAGGAATCAATTCTGCTCCAGGAGCGGCCTGGGTGCTCCTCCCTGCACTCCCCCGGGAGCCTGCCCCCCGAACGCTTCTCCCTGAGCTATCACTGTTGTCTCCTCGCTATTGTCTTGCTTTCCAGCACTCTCAGAAGGACTGTTCAGCAGCATGGGGTGGCCAGTGACAGCCCTAGACTGAGGAGCTTGCTAACCTAGATAGCTTGGCTCCTTCAGGAGGTGGGGGGGACTAAACAGAAGACACTTTTTAGGGGGCATCCAGGTTTTATCCTAACTCGAGGTAGCCCCATTGGTACTGTGTTGCAGCCTGCTCCATTGGCTCATCCTTGTCCCTAGGAGGTACTAGAGTGCTGTGGCCAGCTTTGGCTGGCAGAGATGCTGCCAGGAGTCAGTTTCTGCCTGGCAGACAGTGCTTGGGGATTCTGTGACTGGAAGCAGCTCCCAATCTCGCCTAGTACTGGCCATGGCAGTGCCGCCGTATGGGGTGACAACTGCTGCCCCTTGGGAAGGAACCTGGCTGCTTTCAATAAACCGTGATTTGAATTGATTCATCAGTAGGATCCACTCAGGGCTGATAAAGCTTTCAGGAGCCCTGGCAGAGGAGGCTGAACTGGGCAAGCTGGGCATCCCCCTGGCTCCCTGCAGCTGCACAGCTCCTCCATGCAGCCAGCTGTGTGTACCAGCCCCACAGATCCTGCCAGACCCAGCCAGCTGGCAGCAGTGCCCCAGGTTTCCCTGCAGCCTGCTTGCTCTTCCCCAGCCAGGGATGATGCCTGCGTGGGCTAGAGCACAGTCCATTGCCTCCACCCTGCTGAAACCCCCCCAGCCAGGGACCCCCATCCCAGTGCTCCTTTCACGAGGGATGCCATCATCCCTGGCCAAGAAGAGCTGATGGTCCCCGGCTCCATTTCAGTGTCAGCCAGGTCTCTCCTCTGGCCTGCTGTCCCCTCTCATGGCACGGGTCAGGGCAGTCCCTGGTCTGAGTGCTGGCACTGGTTCACCGCCATGCCCACCACAGCTCCAGGATCCCAGGCGGGACAAGTCCGCCTTGTCCCATGGGGCCACGTCATGCAGCGGGGTGGGGGAGTGAGGGCACTCCCCCACCCTGTGCCCCAGCAGGTAGCGAGGGAAGGCAGGGACGAGGACTGTGAGGCGGGAGGCAAGCACGGGCGGATCTGGTTACAGGCAGCATGGGGCAGAGAGATAGGCAGAGAACAGCAATGCAGCAAAAAGGGCTTTTAGTGATAATTAATAATTAACATTTCTAATGATGTCCCGGCGACAGGAAGAGTCCAAGTGGGGACCTGGGGGCACTGCACACGGCGACAGTAGTGCCTGGGGACCATGAGGGGACCAAGGAGGCTGAGCAGAGCCAGGGGCTCGGTGGGAGAAAGCCACAGGGCCAGAGGTCCCGGGACAGGGGCTGGGCACCCCTGGGGTCCCCTAGGGT